GATTGTTGTGGGCGTTTCACAACGGAAAGGACGGCAGCTGTGGTGATGAGAGGTGTGGTTCTTTTTCAGACATTAACCTAGGCTAGGTTAACACCCCACCGAGGCTTCAGAGTGACCTTCTAAAGAAGAGCAGAGCTTTTCTACAGCAGGAGGAAGCTACCGCTAATGAACACATGCTACAGTGCAAACACACCGAGTCTGTGCGCTCAGCAAAAAAATCCACCAAGTAAACAAAGGTAAGACAAAGTTTACAATTACTCATTGTGCTGTCAAGAGTATTCAGGTTATGCAAATTGCTGCCATATGATTTAAATGTTTCAGGCCAAGATGTATTACGCCAGCATGACTTTCCCTCTTTGGGAAAAGCAAATCACTTGCAACCCTGAATACAAACAAACCTTCTAGCATATTTAACTACACAAACAGCTCATTGCATCCTCCCATGGAGAATAAACAGAGCACAGACACACAGCCATACAGACACACCAATATGCACTATGCCGTTTTGATGTCCTGGTAAATTTACACACATCCACACAATAGGAGTAAAAACACACACACACACCCTCTCTGATTACCCACAACTCGAGCATCACACAGAATCTCAACAAGGCGATGTTAGCACACATGCTTAACTTCATGACCTTGTTTACTGTGACTGTTTAAAGCTGGATATGTGAGTGTGCCTCAGTGCAGCAGTAGCCTTCATCTTGCCATTACTGCTCCGCTTTATATTGCTGGCAAAATCACAGGTGACAGACCACTTTTCCTGGGGGCTCTACACGAACCCTCCTCTCAGCGCGCACAGTCATTTGACGGGGATAGCACCTGACATGCACAGGTTTCACATATTCAGCCCGAGTATGAGACGACAGAGGGAGAGGAGCCAGTGAAAATCTATCGTTATGGCTATTAACTGTCAAAGTCACCTTCAACCTGAGGTTCAGCCCCTGCAGAGCACACAACACAGGCGCACATGCATTCATTCGCTTCAACTAGCATGAGTCATACAGTTGATGGATCAAGTGGTGATGGAGGGAGTGAGAAGCAGCAAACGCGTTCAGCCATCTGAGGAAAAACAAGACAAGAGTGTGACGAATGTTAGAGGAAAAATCTGACAAACAGCAACGGTTTCACCCTAAATTCCTGCACCGTGTCATCGTCCTCACCGGGGCTTCAGATTGCGTCTCACCTCTTTGTTGTACCCAGCAGACACTGTGAAAGTGCAGCATTGAGGGACAGTGGAGTGTCTGAGCATGTCAGATAAACCTGCGGAGGGCTCCACCAGGAAGAACTCCAGAGCCTGATTATCAAGACATTTAAAAACAGAATTCTGATGCCTCTGCTGATGTTTTAATTTGGGATCATTGGCTTTAGAGGTCACAACAAATGAGATTTTAACTACTGTAGATTCCTTCACTGACTGAAGACTGCTCTCTGTGTATGCTGCTTTGCAGAAGAATGGAAAAGCGGCAGCTAGCCAAGAAGTAGTGTAAATTGGGATTTAGGAACGGGAAGATACTGAGCAGAAAAGGTGGGAGGATGCAAGAAGTGGTGAAAGGTAACAGTGATAAGTCTGGATGATTAAAGGGAAAATGGTACAGTGGGGCATTACAAATCTAGGAAAGGATGAGAGTATAGAAGAGTGGAAGTAAGGAAACAGATGTTGTATGAGAGCAAGATATGAGAAACTAGACAGAGGAAGTGTCAGAAAGAAAATAAAAGATAAAGGAGTAGATGAAGGGAAGAGTAACATGGCAGGGTAAGGAAGGGAAGTGTGGAAAGGAAGGATGATGAGAGAGAGAGAGAGAGAGAGAGAGAGATAAATGTCAGCAAATGTGGTAAGGGAATAAAAGTGAGGGACAACAGAACTTCAAAAAAATGAGAGAATTAGAATTGGAAAAAACAAAAGGGTTAAAGGATGGATCAAGAATGTACAAAAATGTAGGAACTAGTTGAGCTTTTATTGATTGAAGGGAAACATTGGAAAACATTCTCTTACAGAGCAAACTTGTGTTCGAACTTTGCACTAGAGCAAACAAAACGGTCACATTGTATTGATTGAGAGAGAAGCTCGGAGACGAGCTGAAAACAAGACATCGTCATGGAAAAGGAAGATTCAGGAGGTGAGCTGCTTATTGCAACTTTTTAAATCTGCCTCCTCTTCGCTCAATTTCTGCAGACAGCCAAGGTAATTCAAATCGATTCTAAGTCCTTCAATTACGGACACACTGACAACAGTTTGGAGAGAGGGAAATGGATTTTTCTGCTCATCCACAGGCCAAGGCCAAATCTGAGGACCTAGACAGCAGCGCCGAATCACAACACAACGTCGACAGCACCGGCCTCTCTTTCACTTTTGACATTTTTACTCTCTCCTGTACTGTGTTCATTTTCCTCCATAAAACCTGTCACCAGCTATTTTTTATGATTTCAGGCAGGCGGCAACAATAACGGCCAAACCTGCTGCTTTTTTTTCTTTTTCTTCTTCCATTCGTCTGTAAGAGAAGAAAACAAAAAATATGCCTCTGTGTTTGGACGATCCCATGAGGAAGAAAATGTTGGCTGTCTTTAAGCAAAGCTGAGAACTCAGGCAAAAACATATGTTCACACTGCACACGAGGATACATCAATATGCTGACACACACACAAAGGTACGATACAGAATCGACCCCACAGCAGTCGGCAGAAGCACAGGCAGAAAATTGTAAATATTGAGTAACCCCTTGTCCCTGAAAGATGAAGTACAATAGCCGGAGGGATTTCATACTGCTATTGCTTTATTATGAACTAATGCGCTCATAGTTGTTGCTTCCAAATGACTCAATAAATATCCAATACATCCTGAGAAACGGCCTTGACCCTGTTGTGTGAAAGAGCGTTTTTCAAAAGCACCGTCTCTGCCAACACGCTAAAACACTGAAGGCAACCTCGCAAAGTGGCAATTACCATTTTGACATCAATTCAGAACCCCATAAAGAAAACCCGCCACGTTCTGAGCAGGCAAAACAGACAATTACAGAGACAAATAAAGCGAGCAAACAAGGGTGACAAAAAAAACAAAACTCCCAAGGAATAATAATTCATCTTAATTAAAGGAGCAGTCCGCCCAAAGGTTCATTTAAAACAACACCCTCTTCTCTCAACCCCCCCCCCCCCCCCAAGAGGTATTAGCTGGTTTTTAAGCAGAGGGTTACATGATAGAACTCTCGCTGCTGACCTCCAAAGCTTCTTCCCTCCCTCATCTATATTAATATGAAGGAGCGGCACTAATTTTGCCCGCTAAATCAGTGTGCACATTTTGTTGTGACCTCCAGCTTGACACTGAATTAAACAATATCAGGGCCACGAGAAGCCCGCTTTAACAAGCTTTAAATTCCTCCATCCAATCCATCAGCAGGGATATTTCTGACACACGGAGGGAAGAGCATGAAATAAGGCAATTATTGAACCCTTCAGCCCCATTTTTACGGCTTGGCTGGCTGGCACAGCGTCACAGACCTCCAAGTTTGTGTCTTGAGGTGACTCTTGGAGATAGGAGCTCTTCAAATGAGTAAATAAATAAATTAAAGCAGCACCGATTCCACCTTACTTCGCTCTCCACTTTGTGTCGAGTCCTTGTGCCTTAAGAAAGTAGAAGTTACAAGTGTTTGAGAATGAAGCTCCAGTGTGGACTCCGAGTGTTCCTCTCAGAGAAAATCTCTGGTGCATGCAGGAGGAGGAGGAGGAGGGGGGGAGAAAGCAGCTTTGTGCGTGTGTCTTTCATGGAGGTGGCAGTCGATCCTGTGTGTCTGGGCGTCCTCTCAGATTGCCTGACAGATAATCCATCACACAGTCAGTGTGTCTGACAGGAAGAGGTCTCAGTCAACTTTCAGTCTCTCTGTACGGCTCACACAGGGCCCACCAAGGACAGTCACTCCTCTCAAGTCTCTCTTGGGACAACGCACACTTGAGTTTCATTAGAGGACTGAAGGTGTGTGATTTGTGGAGTGGAGATAAAAATGTGTGTTTAAAATGTGTGTGTGTGTGTGTGTGTGTAAGCCAATCCACTGAGTAAAAAAAAGAAAGAAGGCAAAACAGATACTAAATACATGTATGACAGGATATAAGAGATAAGAGGTATGGATTCTTTTTGAGCAGCAACACAAGGGGGCTTGTTTGTGGAAATCGGAGTTCATTGGAAAACTTTTAGAACAGCAGCAGATGAATCCAACATATTAAACACAATAAATAAAATAAATAGAAAGATTAAAGTCTTTAGAAGGTATTGACATCATATCATTCTTGCAGAACTTTTAATTAAAAAGTTTGTGAAGCTATCAAAACCAAAGGAAGTGCCGTTGCAAGGTACAAAACCGATGAACAAAAACGTTCAAATATCCATTTATTTCTTTGCTAATTTAAAAATTCTGAAACCGAATTTCATTTTGGAGATCAACAGCACATCACTCGAAACTGTTATGGAAATGCTGAGAGTGTTAAGCTTCAAAGTGTGTGCATTTCATACTGATTATTTCCCATGGAAGGTTTCAGAGCTGGAATTGTTTTTTTAATTCCACGTCACAAAGTAACACACAGAGCTGAAGAAGAACCAAATATTTCATAGTTCTAGGGAAAGGAGCCACAGGTGGGTTTCGAACCTGGGCCTTCCGCTTGGAGGACTACAGCCTCCACACATGAGGCCTAACCACCGGGCACCCGCGCCCCTTTGTTCTAGATTCTTTAATGCGCTGAGCAGCTGAGTGGTCTTATATAGCAAAGAGACAGCCAAAAGGTAAACCACTGCTGTACTAACTCATGCCAAACTAAGTATAATCATCAGGGAAAATACATTTTGGACTAAAGTGTGTGCCAATTAAAGAAGTGTAAGTATCGGTTTTTGGAGTTTTGGTTGGACAAAATTGTATTGTAAGAATTGTATCTCAAAAGGTTAGTTCATGTCTGGACGGGTTGGTTTATATCTCAGGAAACTGAAGTGAAGTGAAGAAAAAAAGACTGTTAACTTGAAATATTTTCTTTAATTGTCTCAAATTATTTACACAGTATTATACCGTATTCAAGATAAACTGTCAATATACATTCATGATTAAAAATACATAAGGTACAATTGTATATTAGATTATTTATTTTGCCTCAACACCTCTGTATTAACCTATTGCTCTAACTTAAAGTTGATAGTTTACAGAGCCTCCCATAAAGTAAGCCTGGTGTAAACAGTGAACTCACTGTTTCCTTTAGAGCACTTCACACTTAAGACATGATGTAGAAAATTCACAGCGATGCTTCCTCTTCCTCATTTGAAACCTACATAAGGCATTGGATGGAGTCAGGGATCAGGCTGAAGTTAGACTATAAGTCAAAATGAAAACAGACCGATCAAAGGAGTTAAGTGTTCGCTGTAAAGCTGCTGCTGAGTGTCATTCTCTCTTGACAGGCCGGACAGTGGCTCAAATAAAACATGTCTTTTCTTACTAACATCTTGTAATAATGCCGCAGAATGAAGTGAGGGAGACAAGTTGATTCATCTTGAATAATGGAATGCACAAAGTGTCGAGTCTCCTTTTTGACAAATGTCATTAACGTTATGATATAACAAGACTAGATTTTGTAGTGTAATATGATACAAAAGCCTAAGAACTACAATTTATCCAAATTAATACACACTGCAATGGAGAAAAATTACCAGAGCTAAAGTGTGAAAAAAAGTTACATTATATTACACCCTTAGATTAGGTTTTACTGCAAAATGAATAATATAGGAACTCAGTTGGCAATGATATGATTATTTTGAAACTGTAAAGGCCTGTTAAAGAAAAGGCTGCAAGTCCTGGAGGTCTGCATGTGTAGAAAAAGGCTGACAGTGATGATCAGAGGCGCTGATGGGCAGACAAACTGTTGCGGTTTCATTTTAGGTTTTTTTATTTCTTGATGGCGGCCACTGCTTTCTTAGCGGCGTCGTCCAGGTTCTCAGCTGCGGTAATGGGCAGGCCGCTCTCAGTCAGAATCCTCTTGGCCTCGTTGACGTTGGTTCCTAGCAGGCACAGAAAAAACACAGTTACAACAGGCAACACAAGAAAAGACAAAAACTTGCCTAACAAGGTTGAACCCTAATCTGCCATCTGCACTTCTAGAAAAACCACACTGTGTGAAAGACGAAGAGTTCCTTTGGAGGAATCAGGGCGCCTGATGACAGATGGATGTAGTTATGGGTGAACAGCAGCAAACTCCAACCGCTGTTCCTGAGAGCAGCTTTGTCTGTGAACAATGTCACTGAGCCAGGAGGGCAATTTGTGTGCGTGTGTTCCCCCTAGCTGCAGCGAGGTCAGGGGGAGCAGGTGCCGGGTTGTTTTCCGTGATGCCCCGACCTGCAACCAACCAGAGGAGGGAGTGCGAGAGAAAAAGTCACCCGGAGATGCTCTTCACAGCCCTGAGACTCTGCACGCTGAACCGGCTGCCCCTAAGCGCCACACATGGTGCAGCCCAAACAAGAGCCTGACAGACCTGTCACAACACGGGGACGGGGACGGGGCGCCGCAGTGAACGGAAGGACACAAGAGAGGGAGGAGATGGTGTAGTAGAGAAGGAGGGAGAGGGAGAGAGAGAGGGCAATAAAGTAAAAGGTCAAATGAAGCAGAATCGCCCACGCCGCTAAAACAACATAAGGCAGCTGTTTGTGTGGAGTTTACCGATTTCTTTTTGTTTTGGATTTTGAAAATTTCAAAAAAATCAGAGAATCGAAAAAAGACCAAGTACTTTGAGTTTTCTGTTGTATCTTATATCACTACACTGATTTACACAAGTCTTTCATCTACCTTCCTGTTATTTATCTGTCATCATTCTCCTCACATCTGAATTTTCCCTCTGGAGATCCATTAAGGCTTCTCATTCAATATGCTGTTGAGTCATAAAGACAACAAAAAACTGAAACCCTGTTGTGTAATGGAATGTTTTTGTTCTTAGTGTCATCATCTAAATGATTTGTTTTGCAGCAACATGCCGATCGACTTGTTAGGTGTTATTGTCTTAATGTGATGTTACACCTCGGTCTGTCTTAATCAGTCATCTGATGAGTAACTGTAGTAATAAGCTATCATTTCATCATTTTCATTTAAAGCTACTGTGAGGAACTTTCATCTTGTACCGATGTTGGTGACCTGAGTGGACAAACTGTTATCTCTTTGCTGATCTTGTCCTGGACTCATGTGAGCTGAAGTCTCGGACAAAAAAATAAATCTCACCCAGCTTCTTTTAAACAGTCCGATGAGTCATCATCACCATGAGTTTGCTCCACATAAAAATCCTCTGTAGAGTGTGCCGTTTCACAGATGCATCAGTAACAACACAAGCCTCACAAGCAATCACTGCTCCCAGCTTCTTAATAGTATGTTTTTGTTTTTGGAGCAAACCAAATTTAGTTGTCTATTTAGTTGCCCCCCCCCCCCCCCCTAAATAAATTAACGTAATAATCAATTAGGGAACTTATCCATAGATGGATGGGAATTAATCACCAGATGCAGCCTGACATACATGTACAGTTTTTACTTTGGGTTTGTAATTAAAAATGCTTGACGGAACTATAATTGCTTCTTGCGTGCATTGGTGTCTCTGCCTTCACTCGAGCAAAAAAGAAAACTGTGACGCTAAATGGGTGGAACTGTGTGTGTGTGTGTGTGTGGGGAGGGGGGGGAAGAACATGCTCAGATACTTACAGGTTGACCTTAGCTCTGCAGGCTTGGCGTGTAATTAAGACTGCATGATATGTGAATTCTCTGGAGGCCCGGCTGCCCTGATCAATAGACCTTTCATGAGGAATTCCATTACCAGCTCCACTTAACGCCTAATATTTCATCTCTTTTGTCCAGCCAGATAATAAGTCATTCCAAACACATTTTTTTTTGCAGGCTCACACTCTAAACAATCAATTCGGCGATGTAATTAATTAGACTAAGAGCAGGAAGAGGGCTTGCTCTGGCACATAAACAGGGGATTGAGTGTCCCCAGTCATTTTCTGATCAAATAGCACAGAATGCTTTCTGTGTGTGTGTGTGTGTGTGTGTGTGTGTGTGTGTGTGTGTGTGTGTGTGTGTGTGTGTGTGTGTGTGTGTGTGTGTGTGTGTGTGTGTGTGTGTGTCCTCTCATAAGCTTAAATTAAAAGTTTATGTAGGTGATGCTTTCTTATAAATTATATGGCGAGAGTACTGTGTGATTTACATTCATGACTTCATTTTGGTTTGACCGATACACCTCATCACAGACAGGTTAATCCATCACATGATAAAAAAAAAAAAAACTTGCAACACATCAACTTAAAACAAGAGATACAACTGTAGGAGAAGCAGCCATATGTGCCCACAGCAAATACATAATGCAAGAGATACACTGAAAAGGCAAATATGCCTATGGAAATGTATATAGCACTAAAGTAAGGTAAACATCACATGTGTTTTTGCTATTTTTTCATGTGATAAATATTCATGAGAAGAAGAAGAAGTGTGTGCAGCATTGCTTAGACATGGCCTGTGTTATCCATGTAATGTGTGAGAGGGGAAGAGAATCGCACATCTGTGGCAGTAAGAAAGAAGAGTTGTTTGTTTACGTGGATTTTTTTCTGCATATGTGTTCACATGTTTATTTATATTTGTGTGTGAAAGACGGTGCAGTTCCACTGTGAACAGCAGGGAGCACTGATAGCTAACAGCATCAGAGAAGAGGACAGAGCCAAGCTGGATATCACACGACTAAGGTGTGTGTGAGAGTGTAAGTATGTGTCTGTTTGTGTGTGTGTGTGTGTGTGTGTGTGTGTAGAGTATGCCAAGTGTAAAATGTGAGTGTTCACCTGCAGCCACTAGGTGCTGCCAGAGACCTACTCACAGCCAGGAAGCAGGGAAACACAGATATATGCATGCATACATGTGAGGCATCCAAAGTTGGACTGACATCATTTTGAAATAAAATACAACAACTTCTTTTTTTTTTTAACTGTAACTGGGAGATAACAAATCAATTGGCTTCTTTACTATATCTCACTTAGACACTTGAGCAAGTTATATTTGTGGCTTTTAAAAGTCACATGCTGTTCTGAACTCCGTGAACATTTATTGAGGACATATTATTCCCCTTTTCCATCTTTTCAAACAGTCCCCTGTGGTCTAAATGAAAAATCTGTTCTGTTCCACTGCCCAACAAACCTGTAGTATTGCTTAATATGTAAATTATGTAACCTGAAACTTGTTTTCCTATGTCAAAATATAACATGAATCAAGCACCAGAGGAGGTTTGTGTCCCTGTATAAACCAGCTCTCTCAGAACGCTCCGTTTTGGTGTGTGTGTCTCTTTAAATTTAATGAGATCCCCCCCCCCCACTGTGATGTCACAAGTTGAGCAAATTTAAAACTGAGCATTTCTCTCTGTATTTTAAGACTTATGCAGACTAAAAACAAAGGACTGGATGGGTTAATTTCACTTTTTGTGGTTCGGGAGACACTCAGGTTACCTGTAAAAGTGGATTTTTCACATGTCCCCTTTAAAGTCTGAATCCAAAAAGTTGCCACTTGAGCATAAATCTGGAGAGTGGATCAGCTGACTCACTCTATGAGTCTCTAAACACACTCTACAAGCTGAAACAAGGAAAGACCAGGCACATGTGAGTATTTTGCAGTGTGATGTATTGCCGCTTCACAACAAATGTCTGTTGGATCTATGCTCTAATTAGTAAGCTCACTTGTGACTATTGTGAAAATGCCACTTTAATGTGCGAGTCGATTACAGTCCAGCATATTTCAACAAGATGATGAGGCTCAGTGCCATGCCAAAGACTCGTGCTGGAGGAGTTAATCGATGCTGCAGCTCCTAAATCTGTCTTTTCTTTTCTGTCTGAACAAGCTGAGTTTAGTGAAGACCAGACCTGATGAGAGGAGAAAACTGCCACAGTCTCCGACCAACAGAGAAACTCTATTCTCTAACACTTCTCTGTAAGTCATGGTTAAGTGGGTCAGTTTGTTTGTACCAGGCACAGACAGGAAAAGAAGCAAAGCTTTATCTGTTTTTCAAAACAGTGTTTGTAGGTCCAGGCTAAGCTTCATACATTTTCTCTGAACATTGTTTTTCATTTAAGTGACCCGGAGATTTTGTAGAAGATATAATGGTATTTTCGTTAGACAAATACTTTGTTGAATTCACAAGTTATAATACCAACCCTTCCTTTTTCTGAGTAAATATTATGTTATTACAGCACAACTTGGTCTGACATAACGTGGCTAAGAGCAGCTAATGTAAGCAAACTGTTGCTAAGCATTTCTGAGTGATTGTCATGACTGAGTCAGTTTGCTGACTTTAAGTCACTTCCTTTTTTTTTGGCTGTTTTGCTTTAAGTTTATCATTCATCACAGATTTTTTGGATTGTAAGTCGTATGACCCTTTTTTCCAAAAAGGTTGGGACACTGAGTCAAATGTAAATAAAACTTGAATGTGATGAATACAAAACATTTAAACTCCTTATCTAATTGAAAATAGCACAGACAACATGTCTATTGTTGAAACTGATAAATGGTATTACTTTTGGAAAATAATATGCCCAGTGAAGCACCCCTACATTTCATCTCAGCACCCCTGTTCTAACATCAGGGGCTCCCATATCTCCCACCAGATTTTTAAATCTCAGATGTATTTTACTAGATATCTTAACTTTTTTTTCCTGGCTATCATGTAGAATAAAGTGTAGTAATAATAAATACTACACATTTTAAGTCAAACATATTCTTCTATACATGCCATACATCACACCTGAAAAAGGCCACCCCTCTCTTCTCCTTAAAGTTGGTTTAATCCAAAAGTGTGATGGGACCAGCAAGTAAACACAGATGCAGGAGGGACTTGAAGGTCTGACAGACAGGGAGTAGATAATTATCACATTAAAACCTATAAACATATTTAAAGCGATATACTTAAACACCACCACTCAGGTGGTTTAGCACTCTGGTTTGTTGCTAACTCTAATTATGACTTGTGACTTTCTGTTAAATATTTCTAAGG